ATGTTAAGAGTGCCTTCCTCAATGGGTTTATTCAAGAGGAAGTGTATGTTGATCAACCCCAGGGCTTTGAGGATTTTGAGCACCCGGAGTATGTCTATAAACTAAAGAAAGCACTCTACGGTCTTAAACAAGCACCTCGTGCTTGGTATGAACGTTTGAGCAAATTTCTTTTGGACAATGGGTTCAAAAGGGGGAAGGTCGACACTACACTTTTCATCAAGAGTAAAAACGATAACATCCTCTTGGTGCAAATTTACGTAGATGACATTATATTCGGTGCTACTAACGAATCTTTGTGCAAGGAATTTTCAAACCTAATGACAAATGAATTTGAGATGTCCATGATGGGGGAACTAAATTTCTTCTTGGGCTTACAAGTCAAACAAATGAGGGAAGGAACCTTCATTTGTCAATCAAAGTATTGCAAGGAGCTCCTAAAGAGATTTGAAATGGATGGTTCCAAAGCAATGGCTACACCAATGAGCACCTTCGAGCACTTGGACAAAGATGAAAAGGGTAACAATCGATTATCAACATTGAGATAATCGATTATTTGAGGCTGCAGAAGTTCAAAGAAACTCAGGCGCAAACTTCAACAATCGATTTACTTAAACCCGTAAATCGACTATCGCAGCCTGCAGTTCTTTTTGGCGGAGAATCTGAAGACTCAGATAATCGATTTACAGGGAGTGTAAATCGATTATCAACGGCAGAATTTCGAAAAATCTGACCGTTACAGAGACGTTGGAACTGCATTCAAGGCACCTTTTTGACTTCCCAAACGGATCTCCATGCCTCTCAACTATAAATTGGTGATATCCCTTCATTCTTTACTCATTCCAATCATCCTCTCTCAAATATTCATCATATTTCTTCAATTCTTGCTATTGTTCTTCAATTTTTAGCCAAAAATCCTGCAAATTCTCCCTCTCCTCTTTGTTGAAATGGCAGGAGGTCAAAGAAAAAGATCCCGCACCGGCAAGAACGTTGCCTCCTCCTCGGCTCCTCCACCACCGGCGCACAAATACCTCGACGGGTCTTTCTTGTGGTTCATCGACCGCGCTGAGGCGACGCGGTTCTCGGAGAAGTTTGAGCACCGGGAAATTCTCCCTCCCCGGTTCTCCACGGCACGCTTCATTCACGATTCCATTCCACGGGAGGCACGGGTCATCCTCCAAGAAGGAAACTTCCTCGACCTACTCTACATCAAGAAGAACGACTATCAACCTTTTCTTGTTCGAGCCTTCTACTCGAACTTGAAAAAGGATGAGGACGGATCATTGATCTCAAACGTCAATGGGGTAGAGATCTATTTGAATGAGGAGAACATTCAAATCCTCCCCGGGCTTCGACGGGATGGACAGGATCTCGGGCTCTACGTCGGAGAAGAAGGAGCACGGTTCAACGAGACCGCCCTCTTGGAGGAAGTGGGCATCCGAAACTTCGTCCCCACTCCTCAACAGCGGCGACCTACGATTTCTTCCATGAGTCCCGTGTATCGTTTCATCTTCTATGTGTTGACACGGATCCTCAAGCCCAGGAAGTTCAACCACACCACTCTCTCCCAAGAAGACACGAAGACGATCCATGCGATGATTCACAACGCCAATATCAATTGGTGTAAATTTGTGATGATCCACATGTTCCACGCCACCTCCGACAACCGGCCGCTCCCCTACGCTCTTCTCGTCATGGAAATCCTTGATGAGTACCACATCAAGACGGACGTCGGGTTAAAATGCAAAGGGACGAAGCATTGGGTGATTGACGAGTCCTCCTTCCACCCGGGAACCTATGAAGCTACGTTCCCGCAGCCTCGTCCTCATCGCCAACCGAGAGCTACTGCCTCGACTACCACCGCTTCAACCAATCTGTCTCTTTCCGAGCAAATGGCGGCTTTGACCACCACCCTTTCTCGGATAGACACCAACGTCTCCAAAACGGCACATAACGTCAATATTCTGAGCCGTGAGCTTCACGGGTATTTTGACTTTGTCAACTACCCCTACGCTCAAATGGTCCCTTATGTTCCTCCGCCAAACCTAGGTGGTGAACCAAGTGGGACTAACGACGTTGGAAGAGAAGAAGCAGTGAACGTTGAAGAAGAAGAAGAAGAGGAAGACGAAGAAGCTAAAGAAGAAGAAGATGATGATGATGATGATGATGGCAGTGGTGATGAAGAGGAAGACGAAGACATTGACGAAGAACAGCTTCTCAATGATCTTTCACCAGATTTCTAGAGCTCTAGCTCTATTCCCTTCTCTTCCTTATTCTTTTTATGCCTTTTAAAATTTGCTTCCGTTATGTACTCCGCTATTTCCCTTAATTCATTAATAAAAATCTTTATGGTTTTTGTTATTAAACATCTTTTTGTTATTGTCAAAAGGGGGAAGATAAGGGCTATGCATATATTCAGGGGGAATTTTATTAAGGGGGAATTTTTTTTCAAAAAGAACAAAACCCTATGCATATCCCCGTCTTGTTTGCCATTATCAAAAAGGGGGAAATTGTTGGAACACACTTTGCACGTTTAACTAAAGTCGTGTTCATTTCTGACAGGTTTTGATAATTGCCAAACCGCCGTGGATATAAAGAGTTTCGTTGAATAACTCAAGGCGCGAAGAATGGCATGGAACAAGACCCAAAAGACTCAAGGACAAGATCAAGAATTGAAGACTTAGTCGAGTCGGTCTTTTGACCAAAACCGACAATCAATTCAAGTCTCGGTTCTCAAAGAGTCAAAATAATTTTACAAAATCATAAAATATTTTTGTGCATCAAAATGAACATTTTTGATAAATTTTTATTGTTAAAATCCCTGGTCCTTGCTCAGAACCAAAATCACCTAAGTCGGCGTACGGTGTTCGGCGTTCGGTTTTTGGCGCCCGAACCAACTCGGTAGTTTTCAATGTTTTAAACCTCGTTTTTATATCTGAGCATATTTAAAAGGTTCCCAAATAATTATTTCATAAAAACCACTTTTGTATCTTGGTCAATCGGTCTAACACGTGAAAAATGGTCAAAACCGCACGCACGTGATGTACGACCTTGGAGACTTGGTTTTTACCGAACAAGTCTTGTTTTCACTATTTTATACCATATACAATGTTTTTCAAACTTGGTTTTTACTTTTGGGAACACTTCGTTTTTGGACCTCGGTTTTTCAAAACGGGTTTTAGCTGGCTAGACTTTAGCTGGGTGATAATCGATTATCACCTTAGTGACAATCGACTATCAGCCCCTGCAGCTTTGAACTTCCAAAGTTCT